ATAGTTATCTATCATCTCTATCTATCTATAGAAAGACAGCTTTCTGCCTCTCTGTGTATCTATCTAACTTTGTCAGTTGATAGCAATAACATAAACTTAGAAAATCAGAGATGAGAGCATATACTAGGTATAGATAGATAGGCCTAGTTCAAAGTGGTAGGTAGGTAGGTAGATAGATAGATAGATAGATGATAGATAGATGATAGATAGATAATAGCCCTAGTTCAAGTCGATAGATAGATAGATGACAGACAGATAGATGATAGATAGATAGATAGATAGATAATAGCCCTAGTTCAAGGCGATAGATAGATGATAGAGAGATGATAGATAGATGATAGATAGATACATGATAGATAGATAGATAGATGATAGATAGATAGATAGGCCTAGTTCAAGCTCCTCCAAAAAGGAAATCTGATCGACAGCCAACGACCATTATCTCTGCATGGGTGACAGATTGGCTCCCTTTGAATCTAATGTGCTCTCCTAGCCTGGTGTCTGTAGCCGTAGGGGCAGATGAATGTGATACTGCTAAGCTACCTAGGTCTCCTTCCTCTTTGGGCTATCTGGTCTGGGAAAGAGCTATGGAAGTAGCAGGCGCCACGATGAAGCCATTCTGGCCATTCCTTCAGCTACATTTGTCAACCTGAATCTTATTTTAACCATTTTCTGTGTTCACCGCTTAGATTATGTCATAATCACACACAGGTCAAAGTGGCTCTGCCTTCTCTTCACTCTCACTTTGCCCTCTTCACCTCTTCCCATCCATATCTCAGAACTAAGAGTACAGCGCAGAGGCCTTGCTGACATCTAATAAGCATGGGCTAATGAATCAAAAAACCCACAACCACCTGCTCCCTGGGTCTTAAGGGAAAATATAGGGATTGAGCTGAATACATGGTCGTTCCCTTTTCTATTAATTTCCGCAGCTCATCTGTGGGTTGTGCTCTCTGCTCCACTGGGGTGACACAAACATGACAGATGGCTCTCTCATGGACAAGAAGTTTATTCTGCGACACAGTGAGAGCTATATGTTTTACTATAAAACTCTTATAAATCAGTCATATATTCTGGATAGAATTGCTGTGGCACAGAGAGAGAAATGTTATTTAATACATATGAGCAGTTGAAATTTGTGAACCATCAGAGTGTAGATTCATACGTATCAGTGAATCATTTTGAGGTTTTGATGTAAATATACAGCATTAATAAACAAAGTTTATGACTTTCTAGGAAATAAAGGTTTTTATATGATGGAGGAATAAGTATTTAATAACCAGTAAACTGAAGAAATTGCAAACTTCATGCATCAAAATCATTGTAACAATTTAAAATGTAAACTATGAGAATCTAAGAAAGAAGTATAGATATAAAAGGACGAAACAAGCATTTATGGATTTATCAATAAATGCATAGGTTAAAAGGAAGCTATTAAGATAAATAAAGAGATAACCAAGGGGAAAACATTAGCATTAGAATGGCGTCCAACCTAGGTTAGAAAGAAAACAAATGAGCAAGTACAGACAAGATCAAGAATGTGATCTTGTGCTTATCACACTGGGAATGCAATGTCAGTCTTCAGCAAACTAGTCATATAGAAATCTTGTATCTTTGTATAGTAGAGGAAGAATTATAAGCTCTTCTACTTTTTCATTTTTACTTTTTTTCTTATAAATTATACGTATTCATCATAAAACACACAGATATGTCAAAAGAAGGGTAAAAGACCATCTGTAGTCATCTATAGTTTGGAAATAAACGTAGATCATAATTATAATCTTCTTAAAAATTTAGTGACATACTCTGAAAATTATTCAATAACATTACAAATTATTCTGTAATATTTTAGAGGCCAATAATAGCATCAAAGTTGATTTCGAGCTGAAGCAAACTCTAGGTTACCTAGTCTGACCTTTATAACAATGCCTTTATAATCTCTCCAAAGGATTTTGGGCCTTTTTCTTGACTACTTCAGTGACCTATATAAAAATCTGCAAATCATCAATTTGCCAGGAAATTCTTCCAATTTCCAAAAGCTTTAATTTTGAGAGGTCTTTTGCTATCCTGACTTTTGTCCACCCTTATTTTCTCTCCAGAACAGCAGTGGGTTCAGAATCCATTTCAACTTATTCCCATCCTCTGGCATTGTAACTATGACTACATCAGGGCGATTTTACTATAGAAACTTCTTTAATCTATGTCATTAGTCTAGTAGCATTTATCCTATATTCCTCACAGCATTGTTTTAAAAAAAATCAAGAAAGAAAATATTTATAAAAATGAGAATACATTTTAAGCATTATATGAATAATAAACATATTATTCATCCCTGTTTTTAACTTATTATTCATTAAGTTAATTATTATTCATCATTCTTCTTCCTCCTTTTAGGAGGAATTAAACATTCTTCTTTTACATTTACTATTTGAAAACGTTATCATTTTCACCTCAGTGCCTGCTCCAAGAAAAGATGCCTGATTCTGTCCTGCATCTCTTATAAATTATAATATTCAGAATCATCGTCTTATCAAATCCTCTGGATACATGCCAATTTGTGAATGTCTCTCGTAAAAAGTGCCACACTGAACTAAGCAGGATGATCCTAATGTGGGTGAATAAGTGGAAAAGAAAATGATGTCCTGTCATGAATATTCGTGGCTGTCCACTTGCTGTGTATGATGCGATGCAAGTGTTTTTATTATTACCAACGTCTGTGTCACTTATAAAGGATTTAAGAAATATCTTTGAAAAACTGTTTTAAAGGTAGCAAAATGACTGGAAGACTAAATGTAGAAGAATAAATACTGATGATTTATTTTCCCTTAACCACACAACTGATTGGGTATAGGAGATGTCCTTTGAATCATCCAGTTTTGCTCTTCACTAACTGAAGGACAGAGGGCTTGAATTATTATCTAACATGAAGTTTAAGATATATTTATGACTTTAAGTCATCCATAATTTTACTTACACTGTCTTTCCAAGGATATGAAGAGCTGTAATAAGCCCTGAAAATAACAAGCAGGAAATATAATGGTCTGCTTGTCGTTTTTATCAGTCACTGTTTTTCTCTTTTCTATAAAGGCAATTCTATGGCAAATTATTGGTAACTTACCTGAAAATATCATGACCTGTTCTGAAATAACATGTGAAATGACTGTTTACCAAGTTGTTATGATTTCATGAATTGTTAGCTCTTGTGTGCAAAGGCAGGCAGGAATGAGAGTCTGCTGTGTTAACCCCTCGCTTTCCTTTGAGTCAAATAGTTTGTATGAAACAAATAGGGCAGTCATCCACTCTCCCAGCTCTATTTGCTGTCTGCCTTCAGCAAGTCACTTTATCATTCTCCCACTTTGTTTCTCCACCTGGAAAATCTGGAGTATCGTACTTATAACTCCTTTCCTTCTGAGACTGTTGAGATCTTTAGGAGAAATACACTCTACACATTCAAAGATTTATGACAGCATTATTTTTTTAAACTGCCTACTTAAAGAAAGGGAATGAGCTGGAGTTGTTAAAGTAATAAGGATGTGCCATTTGAGGTTAGACTGTGGTTAGCAGGAACCAACAGCCAAATGTGGTTTTGTTTTGTATTTCCTTTGTCAATTTCAGCTGATTTCAGGCTGGCCCATTCTGAAAATAAGGCTGTATTTCACAATTCCTGGAATGTGCGCACGTAAGAAAAGAAGGCAGGTAGTCTGCTTGGTGATGATATATTTCAAGAACTAATTGTTATTTCCTGTGAATTTGCAACACAGCATGCTGAGTTGAGTTGGAGCTGGAATATCAAATAACAAATAGTATACAAAAGGGATAACACTGCAAAAAAAAAAATTCAAGTCAAAAATCAAAACAGAGCTCAGTGATTTCAGAAGCAATGGCTTCTTGTCAAGAATAACTGTCATTAAAATTTCCATAAGCACCAGTGAAATTGATTTTGGGGAAAAGTCTAAGGGAGGGTCTGTTTTATAAGACACAGTGAAACTTTATTTTATTCTGAATTTTCCCAGCCAAATTTGTAAGATCTCAGATTTTTCTTGGGCCCTTTCCCTACCAAGGGGCCAAAGGTTTATCTCTATTGACACATACAGACTAAAATTTTCATCCAGGAACCTCTATCAGCAGAGTCTGAATTATCTCCTTTGGCTACTGAATCCCACTAAGAAAGTCGCAGTCCTGAGATGATCAGCGGTGAGAAGTTCAAAAAATAATAAAAAGAGAAAGCATACAGGCATGACAATACGCTTCTGATACGCCACACCAAGTCCATGGAGCACAAGAATTGGTCTGGCGTCACTGTTTTATGTTTTCTGGATGTTGAAGAGTCTGATTTGCATTAGAAACCTCTGCGTTCAGTAAACAAAAATCAGGATAATAATGACCAAAGTACTATTTGGAACAGAAAACAAACTCAAGCAATTGGTGTTTTGCAGTGAATTCATTCAAGATTTTATTAGTTAAGCTCTCACTTAGGTTATTAGGCTCAACTTGCATTTTATTTCACTGGCTTCAATTACTCCAAACAAAAGGAGCCTGCTCTGTGTGTGTGTGTGTGTGTGTGTGTGTAAGAGCACGTGTATGTGTGTGTGTGAGAATGTCAGGCGTATCACAGACAGGCTTTCTACATTCATCACATTGCAAACCCATCAACAAAAAGAAGAAGATCTGAAGGGAATGAGTGTTTTCTTTCTTTCTTTCTTTTTCTGGTTTAAGGGATGGAGGGAGAATTTCTGTATATAAACAAGAAGGTTAGCATTGGAAATCTGCTAAAAAAAAAATGTTAGAGCTGACCACAGGGTTGTAAATCCACTGACTGGAAGGAGGAAAAGAGAAACATTGCAAGCGACTGAAGTGTGTGTGGCTGCAATGTTTGCGGGTTAGATGAGAAACAAGCGCGGAGTGAAACAGAGAAGGGGGGTGGCTAGTGTGATTTGTTTGGCGTTCAGAGCCAATAGAAATCCCAGACTGTCATAATATCCCCGTGCAGCGCCGAGGGGATTCAGAGCTAAGTCTCCGGGCTCCTCTCACATCTGCAGGAGCAGCCAGCCTGGGACCGCGCGGCGCGGGGCGCGCGCTCGCCTCTCCTGCACCCCCAGCCGGCGCGCTTCTCGTATGGGCGTCTGCTGCAGCCCGGCTGCGGTCGAACGGAAAGCGGCAGCGGGAGGCCAAACTTAGACCCAGCTGTGGACTATAGAGCTCAGAGGAGGCAGAGGGAGAGGGAGAGAGAGAGAGAGAAGGGACTCGAGGACGAAGCTTCCACCACGTCATTGCAGGTACGCGGCTTGTCACGGCTAATGTGACACAGACACGGTTTCTGATTTCTGCCTTCACGAGGCACTTAGAATGAAACTGACATTGTTGTTCCGTGGCTGGCCGGGGTGGAAAGCACGGAGCGGGTGTCTCGCCGGCTCCCCCACGGGGAATTAAAGCTGTTGGCGTGTGCTTGGGGGCCACACGGTTTATTCACCTATTGAATTATGCGTGGGTGGAAAGTAAGGACCTTCAAACTTGACCGTGATCTCTCTTTCTTTCTCTTTTAAATCACCTCAATATCAATATGTTGTCATGCAACCAATAAAATACCTCTCGGTGACCGCCATTCTAATTATGACTATGGGGAGTCAAACACCATCTGATGGTTAGAAAGCAGGCTATGAACATTTCTCAACCTACCTCTAGGTTGATATCCTCCCTAGAGGAATAGGAACCACTGTGGACTTCAGCATAGTTTTGGTTTTAAAAGCATATGGCCAAGGTGCACTAACCTTATGAGTGGAATATCACTGTATCACTATGCTGTGGTTGAAGGAGAAAAAGAGAGAAGGGTGGTAGATGTTTTTTAGTGATTGTCAGTGATCCTTCCTGTGTACCTGATTTATTTCTACATTATCTTACCAGCTTAAAAGTGCATTTGTATTCTGCATGCCAGGCACGATCAGTTTCAGGATCTTATGTGTTGCTACATTAAAAAGTCATTAATTAGAACCATCTAGTAGATGTGATATTTGTAAGAAAATATTGATTTTTTATTTTATTTGGTTTCATCCTAAAACTCAGACTTCTACCTATTTTTTTCTTTTTTTATTTCAAGGTGTGAGTTTTGTTAAAAAAAATCTATTTCCTGAGATTTTATCGCCTTTGATTTGAAATTTTAAAGATGGTTATATAACTTTCCCCTGCTGTTGATTACTCGTGATTAAATTAGCATTGCTTAATGAGTTCAGTCCTTCCCGGGAAAAGCCAGAGGGAACTGCACAAAGTCTCAGTTAAAAGATTGGTCTTGCCTTGCAGTCTTCAAGTGCTGGCTGGTATTCATGTGTCTCTGAATCCCTACGAAAAACGCTTTTTCTGCAGTGGAAGAAATTGGGACTCCAATTCAGCCAGGGAATGGCTCTGCAGCAGGTGCAGGGGTAATCGCATACGTTACCTTCCCGGTGGAAGAGGGCTATTTACCCACCGATAATTCACAATCAACTCAACATTCAGTAGTGCCTAGTTCTCAAGGTAGTCCTTGTCCCAAGGCAGGTGCCTGACCAAGGAAGATAAGAAAGTTATAAGAAAGGTATTTGTGTTTTATATCACAGTGGAGAAGTTACATTGACCTTTTTTGTTTGTTTGTTGTTTTTTCTATCAGATGAACGTGTTCTTTCATTAAAGGAAAGGCATGCTTAGTTCTACATGGAGTCAGAAAACTTCATAGTTTTTGCGCATTGATTGATCTGAATGATTTAATAGGGTTTTTTTTTTTTAAAAAAAAAATGGGTTAAAGTATAGACATGGCAAGTGAATACTAAATATAGGAGAAGGCATTTTGATTTTAGAGATGAGTTTTTTTTTTCCTTTTACATCAGAAAGAAACTGTAAAGAATTTCGCTGTTCAAATAAATATAAATTAATCGACCCAACCAAATTCTATTAGTAGTTAAGGATTATTTTGTCTGATTGTGAGCATCTGTCAATCTTTTATAAATAAAAGAGCTGCAATAAATTGGTACCTATTTCCCTCTTAATTTTCAAAGTCTAAGGTAATGTTGGGCATGTTGGTAGCAACTTTGTGAGTGTGAGACTGATTATATTCACTTTGAATAGACTAGGAGACACTGAAGGCTTTTCAAAGATAGATATAAATAATGCTGTGATTATTGTTTTGTGCTATCGTTTTTCATTGAGAGAGGTAATCAAGTCATTCTCTTTTTTCTTCTTTGTTTTGTATCTTTTCTTCTAAAAGCACTGCTTGATTTTTTTTTTTAAATATTGAATGCTTCATGAATTTGCATGTCATCTTTGCTCAGGGGCCATGCTAATCTTCTCTGTATCCTTCCAGTTTTAGTATATGCGCCACCCAAGCAAGCATTCTCTATGAATTTTAGTAGAGCCAGCCAGAGTTTCACATACCCTCGAGTTATATGTTTGGTAAAGTTTAAACAAAGTACATGCCTTTAAATCTCTTTAAAGTAAACACCTCTTTTTCAAATGCAAAGGAATGGTATTAGACTCTCAGTTCTCATTGATATGGAGAGGATTGGCCTGTCTGGGTCAAAGGCAGATACTGAGGAACGCAAAGGCACAGGTACACGACAGATTAGTTCAGCCACATTTGTACTTCGGTGTTGCTACGGCAGTCACCCCTGTGCGATGTGCCAGGTTGCAGACATGTGCTCGGTATCAGGTTCCTTTAAATATCGAGGGGAAAAAAAAAGAATTATTTCAACCAGAGAAAACGTGCCTAGCATTGGGCTTAAAACGGGTCACACAAAGCACCCACAAAAAAAAGACAAATCGTTTTGAAGGACAAGGTGTTCAACTAAAAATTAGACCTATGATGCCATCGACTTCTTGGATTAGCTGCTTCTTGATAGTTCGTTTCTAATAATATTAGATATAATAGACCTAATAATATGTAGAATTAATTTTGATTACATGTCAGACTCAACACTGACCAGTGACTTCTGTAAATTTCCCATTGCCACCACTTCTAGTTGGAAAGATGTCTTTAAGTGGCCAGCATGTTGATGGGACCCAGACAGTACTGGAGCACTGATTTGCAGAACAGAGTCCCAGAGCCACATAGAAGTTAAGGGGATGGAAAATGAGAGGGTGGTAGCCACAGGGTATAGAGTGAGATGATATAAAGATCGACACGCTACCATTCTGGTCAACACGGTGAAACCCTGTCTCTACTAAAAATACGAAATTGGCTGGGCGTGGTGGCAAGTGCCTGTAGTCCCAGCTACTCAGGAGGCTGAGGCAGGAGAATTGCTTGAACCCAGGAGGCGGAGGTTGCAGTGAGGCAAGATCACTCCACTGCACTCCAGCCTGGGCGACAGAGCGAGACTCAGTCAAAAAAATAATAATAAAATAATAATCAAAAGATTGACATGCTTCGGTATAAATCCAGGAGCCAAAGGAAAATGAATTTATTTCCTCTAATTTGCTTCAAATATACATTTGTGATAAGACATCCTAAATATTTTAAATAAACTCTCATGTGTTCTTAGGTATCTCACACACAGGTATGGAATTAAAAGAAATACATTTGATGTACTGTAACACTCCTGTCTATACAGGCCAGGAGAGGGCAGCATGCAAACTCCAAAAAAATTATTTGATCCCTCCCCTTGACCATGAGGAAGACTCCCGTCTCCAAATGGCTAAAAAATGTCTCTCCAACTTGAAGTGCCCTCTTCCCTTTGGAGAGCCAACTCTAGAGTCTTAGTAAAGGTACACCATCCAGAAGAGTTTGTTTCTATTTTGGCCTCCAGAATCGGTGTCACATGGCAAAATCAGAAAAGCAGCAGCATGTTTCACAGGAAACCCAATTTCCCTTTCTTTTAGTTAGCTTTGCCCTTTGAACCTATTCAAGCAGTCTTGATCTTTACTCTGTTAGGTGACGGGTGAGAGAAAGCAAAGAGAATGCAAGGAAAAGGGGACCAGAAGGAATGGGATTTCTCAAGTTGTTTCTCCAGGGAAAATGTTTATGAGCTGCTTCGTCCGTAGACCCAGGCTTTGTTTTAAGCATGTCTCAAATACAAGTTCAGGGCCACGGGATCGATTCTGTCCATTGACAATCAGAATCCTAGCAAATTTGGTTTCAAAGCAAAACAGCTGGATTAGCTTCTCTTGATTGTACCCAGAATCTAAAGACATATGCTTAAAAAATTAGAATTGTGTATCCACCTCTTAGAATTTTAAAAATGATTAAGACTAGTCCATTGTAAATCTAGTCTTTTTTTTTTTTTTTTTTTTTTTTTTTTTTGAGACAGGGTCTCACTCTGTCATTCAGGCTGGAGTGCAGTGGTGCAATCTCAGCTCACTGCAGCCTTGACTTCCTGGTCTCAAGGGATCTTCCCATCTCAACTTCTCCAGTAGCTGTGACCACATGCTCATACCACCATGCCTGGCTAATTTTTGTATTTGTTGTTGAGACAGGGTTTCACCACATTGCCCAGGCTGGTCTCGAACTCTCTGTCTCAAACCCAGTTGTCTTGGCTTCCCAAAGTGCTAGGATTATTAACAAGTGTGAGCTACCATGCCCAGCCAGTTAAAACGTTTTAAAACTCATGGCTCATCTGCTGTTTCCTTGTGTAGTTGCTGCCATCAGAGATGAGTCATTTTCCAGGGGCAAAATATAATTGCACATAGAAGAGAGAATAGTCCCTCTTAAAGTGGGTGTCCTGTGACTGGCAGCGAGGACTTCTGAATGGTTCATCATAATTTCGCTAGGTTGGAGATGTTAGCTTCACGGGCATCCTTGTCTCTTTGGGTCTTTGGTTCAGCTGCTGCACAGTTCACTACTAAATATGAGGGATCTAGGAGGAAATTCAGAGGGGAACTTTTTAAACAACATCTGACAAGGCCAGAGTAAAAGCAGTCTGGAGGAAGAAACTGTGGCTACTCCGGAGAGAGAAGGCAAAAGGGATGTTGGGGCCGGGTGCGGTGGCTCATGCCTGTAATCCTTCGGAAGGCATGAGCCACCATACCTGACCCCAACATCTCTTCTGCCTTCTCTTTCCTTGGGAGTCCAAGGCGGGCAGATCATGAGGTCAGGAGACTGAGACCAGCCTGGCCAACATGGTGAAACCCTGTCTCTACTAAAAATACAAAAATTAGCTGGGTATGGTGGTGCATGCCTGTAATCTCAGCTACTTGAGAGGCTGAGGCAGGAGAATCTCTTGAACCAGGAAGTTGGAGGTTGCTGTGAGCTGAGATTGTGCCACTGCACTCTAGCCTGGCGACAGAATGAGACTCCATCTCAAAAAAAAAAAAAAAAAAA